TTTCATGTTTCCACCGATTTATGTTAATCCACGCATACGGGTGGAAAATGGTTAAATGACCTTTGAAAGGCTTTTGTTTTTATCTGATCGAATTCAAAGATTTCTAAATCAAAAGGATTTTGGAAAAGCCACTCCGTGAAATACGAGTTCTTGTACCCGAGCATATATCTAAAGATCTTTGTTGTTAACAGTATTGCCGAGGCGACTGCGGCAAAGGCAGGCAGCCAGGCGGCAGCCGTGGCGCCCCAAAAAGAAGAGAATACCAGACGTCCGCCGCATTGGCAGGATGACTCGCTGAGCTCTCTGTCCATAGACTCCGAGGATGATACCAATTTGCTGAGTCAAGTAAGTGCAGCGGGTTCACATAGTATGTACATAAATTAATTAATTACTTTTGCACAGGCTATTGCCGCCGGCTGCAATAGACCCAAGTCGAATCTTGGCTTCAGCACGAGCGCAACGAGCAGCAAGCGATCCAGTTCGCTGTGCTCCTCAACGCAGCCCATAGCCATCAATGCCGCCACCTCGGCGTGCTCGCTGAATTCGGCGATTAGTGCGCGCAAGACGGTGCAACAGGAATCCTACAGCTCGGTGGACTCCAGCGACTCGAATGACAATCAGTCGAAGTCGCTGTTCGAGCTGTGCATACTAAATGGCATGTATAAGTCCAAAGAGCCGGGAAAAACGCAACAGCTGCAGCAATTGCAGCAGCTGGGCAGCTCCTCGGCACAGTCCAATCCCAATCTCAAGCAGTTTGATTCGCTGCCCGTGCAGTTGCCAGTGCAACCGAGGCGCCAGCGTCAGCATCATCATCATCACCATCACCAGCATCAGCGGGAACGGGAGCGTGAGCGCAAGGATGAGAAGCTGCTGCTGGAGTGCATCAATACGGGCATATCCAAGAAAATCAATGCCGTGCCAAAAAACGCGCAAGCTACGTCTGCAGCTGCATTGGAACCGTGTCACCCAATGGCGGCTACTACATCAGCAAGTGCCAACAGCACAGCAGCTCCAGACGTAGAGCAGAAAACGCACGCAATATCAATCCCACACAGCAGCCAATTGCCCAAACAGAGCAGCCTGCCCAACCACGGCATCGACACCGACACAGACGCAGCAAAAAGTCCAGCTCCAAGTCCAGAGATCGCGAGCACGATCGCTCACATGACCGTTATTGGGTCTAAGCTGGCGGAGAACGATGCGGATCGCTCCAGCGACGAGTCGAATCAGTCGTTTATACTGGACACCACAGTTCGACTGGATGAAATTTCGGATGCCAGCAGGCAACGCATCAATGCCAGCTGCAGTTCGGACAAGCATAAGGATCCCGATCTAATGCTTAAGTCAGTGGAGCGGCTCACACTAGAGTTTGTGACCTCCGCGGAGCAATTGCGCACGGGCAATCACAGTCACAGTCAGAGTCACAGTCAGAGCAACAATCACAGTCACAGCCAGAGTAACAACACCTGGAACGAGCACACCTGTCCCAATGATGTTTCCTTTCCCAGCATTAGCCAAACGGCGCCAGTGCTGGGCTCGCTCAGCCTTGATGATGATGATGCTGACGGAAATGATGCGGATACCACACAGGCACCGGATCTGCATGAATTCGCCGAGATTACGCCCACCAATGAGACGCATATGCCGAGCTCATTGGGATTGGTTAACGGCGAGGCAGCTGCAGCGGGCTTGACGCAGACGCAGCCCAACTCCCTGGAAAGCCACACTCTAACCGAAACCTTGATTGAGGAGCAGCAGCAGAGTCTATCTTCCGGCCTGAATTTCCAGCTGGGCGGTCAAGTGCTGAGCGCTGCAGTGCGCAGCTGCGAGCAGCAGCAGCGATTGCTCCTGTTCAATGGCACCAGCGCCTCCATGATGACCAATTCCACAATGATTGCGTACGAGGCGCGCGCTCTGGCCGAGAATCTGCAGCAGCTGCAGGCGTGTGACCATGACGATGCCATCAACCATGATGACAGCACAGCACAGCAGTTAACGTTCAGTATCAATGGCAGCCTGGATTTGGACAATGTGCGCCCGCCTTCTGGCATGGAATCGCTGAACTCTGCCTGCAACACGCAGCCGAGCTCGTTGCGGTTGGCTTTGCCCAGCAAATCACCCAGATTTGCGCGTAAGGCGTTTCCAGCTGGTCTGATGGCCAGGCGTGCGCTTGGTCAGTTGGCGGGCAGCGCTGAGAGCGTGAACTCCAGCTGTAACCTGCTGGATAACATAAAGCCGCCATCGCTTATGGATGAGCTGCTGGACTCCATGATCAGCGTAGACAGCATACAGTCCGAGGTGGCGGATGCCGATCAGGACTGCAGCATGGCTACAACCATATCGGTTTCCAACTACGAGACGGCCGCTTGTGACGATCAAACGCTCACATTGACCATGCTTCAAAGCTGTTGTGACTACGATGACGAGGAGGATGCCACCATGAACGAGGACTTTAGCTCGGCGGAGTCAACGCCCAAGCAGGGCTCCACGCCCTCGCCAAATCGTCGCACACTAACGCCCAAGCAAAAGCGTCGCCTGGCCAAGGATCGCTACAAGACGTACACCATCACGAGCAGCGCTCTAGACGCGGCGGAGGCAAATGAAACATTGCGTATTGAGATTGAGGAGTCTGTGCAGTCGTCGGCAGCGCCAGCGACAGCATCGCCACGGCTCAATGGCAGGCGACGCGGCAGTGCCGAGCGCTACAAGACCCAGCTCATCGAATGTCCGCGCCAGCTGCTGCTCTTGCAGGATGATTGCGCCAGCGAGCAGCTGTCCTCCATGCGCGCCATGATGCAGCAGTTCACCTACATCACAGACATCAACATTGCCCAGCCCAGTCAGCCGGAGGAGGAGACGCCCGCTGCGTTGGATGATCCGCCTAGTTGTGAGGGCGATCAGAACTCGGAAACGGAATCCTGTCATGGTCGCGGCCAGTCACCGCCAGTGGCAGCGGCACAGCCCAAGCCGCTAACGCTCAAGAGAGCGACACCGCCGCCTGCTCTGGAGCCGGCCGCGGCTGTCAAGGTGGTGCGTGGACGCAAGAAGCCCGCCTACATCTCGCCCTACAGCATGCAAAGTCAGCGCAATAGCAGCGCAGCCGCCGCCGCCGCTGCCGCTGCTGCTAAGAACAAGACAAAGACGCTCTCGCCGACCATAGCCAAGCGCAATGCTTTACCCGGCACACGGCTGCCGGCCAAAAAGAAGACAACTCCGCCACCTGCAGCTACGCGTCTGGAACGCCAGGGCACTTTTGTCAAGGATGAGCCCACAAATATGGACGCACAGGTGCCCATTGTGGAGGCAGTGAGTCCCACGCAGCGCGCCTCTAAGCTGCCCACAAAGCGTGCCACACCAACAACAACAACAACAAAAGCAGCTTCACCCAAGCGCGTCATAGCCAAAGCCAAAGCAGCGCCTCGCGTGCTGCCAACCCAGCAACGTGCCAATACCAATATACGCCTGGCCAGCGCCAAGGCGGCCGCCGCCTCACGCGTAGCCGCCCAAGCGTCGCGGGTGTCAAGCACAACGCCGCCCTCGCGCAGCAATTCCAATTTGAATGGCGGCAGTGCAGCCGCTGCTGCGGCGGCGGCGGTCAAGATTAATCAAGCGCAAAGTCGCATAGCCAACATTTGGAAGCGTGTGGATGAGGCCAAAACCAAAACGAAGATCAAGCCAACAACCAATCTGAAGACGCAGCAAACGAAATCTTCCAATACGTTGAACGGCACAGCCGCGCGTCCCATGGTGCTGCGCAGCTCCACATTCGACAACACGCCGCCAGATGCTGGCACGGTCAGTCAAGCAGCCGGAGCAGCAGCTGCCGCCCGATCCCGGCTGCCCGTTGGAGGTGCGCGCAAATAGAACCGAACGCACAAAGCGAATCCCGTCTTGCATTTTCGCGTGAATAGCAGATAAACGGAATCAAGGAATGTTTATTATATATTTAATTATATATCTTACAAACCTATATAGTCTTGATATATATATATATCTCCTATACTACTTCATTTAGCGGGTAGCTAGATTTGTTAAGCCTAGAAACTATATCTAATTCAATTCACAGTCAGAAACGAAGAGCCTAAAACGCGTTGAAATCATCTCCATGTTCGTGTGTAGCCAAATGTATTGCATTAAAATAATAATAAATTAGATATTACTTCGGGCCTTTTCAGATGTGTACAACCTATATAGAGCATAGATATCCCATATACCTACGAAACATATATCATACAATACGATATTCAAAGTTGTAATATTTATCAATATTAATTATAGCAGGTATATAAGGTCTATGTATGTTGGGGCTTCTTATTCAAATGGGCCAAAATTAATCAAAAAAAAACAAAAAAAAAATATAAATTTTATACACATAGTGAGCGTATTAGCCAGTCGGCTTCCTTTCTGCAAACCAAATATTATTTTGAGAATGATTATTGTAACACATTTGTAGTCATTGCTTTTTAATTATCATAATGTTATAAATCTTTATTTTTTAAGCGTATTTGTATCTCGTTTTTAGCCGCTTTCGAGACATGGCGATATTTAGTTTAGCTTTGATTTAAGCCGATTTAAATTTCTAATAACATATTAATAAAAACGAAATGTTTTTCAACAAAAACAATTCATTCAAATTTTGCATGAAACTTTACCAATTTTTACAAGCAAAAGGAACTCGCATTAAATTCATTATATACATTTAAATTTCCCGATTTCAATCTTTGAGCCCATTTTCACCCAAGAGGTATGGATTATGATGGAATATGAACAAAGGCTCTTTGGAAAGGAGTTACCTACAATACAATTTCAGCTTCCTAGTTCTTACGGATTGCGGTGATCATCAATCAGTCAGTTAGTCCGTCAGTCAGTCAACCAGTCAGTCGTCAGTCAGTTGGGAATAACATCAAGCAATGTAAGCTCTGGATTTCGAGTGCTCTGAGAGAACAAAACTTTCGATTTTTTTCAATTTAGTTTTAGTTTTTTTGTGGAATTTGGGGCAAATGGTTTTGACAGGCATCGATCGGCCGATAGGTTTGCCAATTGAAATTCCAGCTCTTGCGGCTGATTCATCCAATTTGAATGGAGGATCCGTCGAAGAGGATGCCGATTATGTGTATAGGGAGCCCTGGTACGCGACTCTTGGCCAGATACTTATACCGTTTATCATGGCCAGCATGGGCACCATCACGGCTGGCGTAATGCTGGGTAAGGTGGAAAACTGGACCGTTTACAAGGAGATGAACGAACTGTTTGTCCTGGTGCCCGGATTGTGCGGTCTCAAGGGCAATCTGGATATGTGCGTGGCGGCACGACTGTGCACCCAATCCGCCATGGGGAATATGCGCCAGAAATCGGATATACGCAAAATAGTTATTGGCAATTTGGCCGTGGTTCAGGTGCAGGCCATAGTGTGCTCACTGTTCCTGGTCATCTTTACGGTGGTGCTCAAATCCATTATTGGGCGCACGCTAATGGTCCAGAATCTTTTGACGCTGGCAGCTTCAGCCATTATTACGGCATCTACATCCTGCATAATACTGGACACGATGCTGCTGCTGATTATATTGTTCTCGCAGCGATATCGCTTCAATCCCGATTACATGGCCACGCCCATTGTGGCCTCCATTGGCGATGTGACGTCCATTAGCTTGCTGTCATTCACAGCCGGATTTCTGTACGAGATGGATAAGAGCTCCAGTTGGGTTAACATACTGATTCTTGGATCGTACGTGGCGATACTGCTGCCATTAATGGTCATTCTGGTGTGGCATAATGTCTATACGCGACCGGTGCTGTTCTACGGCTGGATATCTGTGATTGGGGCACTGTGCATTAGCGAGTTTTCTGGATTTGTGCTCGGCTCATCAGCGGAACAATATCGAGGATTTGCCGTCTTCTCTCCTATCATCAATGGGAGCGGTGGCAACCTGGGATCCGTCCAGGCGAACAATATGAGTTCCTTGCTCTACCAGCGCAGCGGAGTGCTTGGCACATTGCCGGAAGGCACGCGAATTTGTGAGTCGCCACATCGTGTACTTTGCTATGGCACAATATATTCGCGTGTTTCCCGGATTGTCATTGCCATTTCGCTACCCTGTAATTTAATGCAAGTTTATCTGGCCGACTACATTTACACGCTGAATTCAAACGTACATATAGTGTTTGTGGCCGCATTTGTTTTAGCAAGCTTATTGCAATTGCTGATCCTTTTGTGGACCGCACACTTGCTGGTGCATATGCTCTGGTACTGTAAAATCGATCCGGATACCTCGGCCATACCATTTTTGACTGCCTTTGGAGATAGTCTGGGAACGGGCCTTTTAGCGGTCATGTTTTACATATTACATTTCACTCGGTATTCCTATCGGACGAACTAATTTCCGTGAATACAAATCCATTCACATAAATGTATATAGATGCACGTGAAAAAGTAGATTAAACAGATAATTAAGACAGAAAAACGTATAATACTTTTAAATTAACGGCAATGCTCACGCGGGTTTTTCAATTCGCGGCTTGGTAGCCCTGCACACAGTGTTATCGATAACGATAGCTTGAATATAAAATCGGCCTTATCGAAGCGCAGGCAACTCTTAAGCAATTTTCTATTTTCAGTTTGCGGTCACACTGTGCTGGTATTTTAAGATTTTTATTAAAATAAAAAAAAACAAGCTATCCAAAGGCAGCGAAAAGCAGCAACAGCAACGAGTGAGCCAAAGTGACAAACAAACAAAATACGTGAAAAAAAATAAAACAAAAAAATCAATAATTATTATTGTGCGCAATATGCAGCCACGCTAAAAGACCTTGAGAAACAAGGGAGTGAACTGGGCTTGTGCTGCTGTCTGGCAGATTTTCAAGCGTCTATTTACATTGCCACCCCACCTGGAGCAGACAGGTGTTGTTGTTGTTGTCTGTGCTGCTGCTGTCATCGATATTGTCATTGACATCTTCAGTTAGCTGCGCAGCGTCGCGTTTTATCGCAGGCCAAAAGTGAACCCCTTGTGTATTTGTTAAATAACTTTCAACGCACACACACACACGCACACACAAATGTAGATACATTCGTAGCTAATCAGTTGCCAAAGATAACAGCCAGAGCGCACTTAGCCAGGCCAAAGCTAAAGCCAGTGACAGCTACAGCGACAGCGACAGCGCCAGCGCCTTTGCCCACGTTTTGTACGCAGCTGGCCAACTGACTGGGCCAACTGTGACTCAACTTTGGCGTTAACAGCCGCTGCCTCTGCCTCTGCCGCTGCCTCGTTGCCAGCGCCCCAATATTACAATAGTCTCGAGTCTCTGTTAGCGTTTGCGGTCGCTGCTGCTGCTGCATCTTTTATTCATAATCAAAAAGTAAACCATAAATTCAGTTGACCAAAATTGTTGCCTTAACTGTGATTTGTTTTATTTGGGCCTCACTGTGTTTGTGCTTATTCAATTAATACATTTGTCTCGTTTCGCCGTTATTGTGTGAGTTATTTTTTTAATAAATGCATTCATAATATACGTTACACAGCACAGCCGTTGCGCCGCCGCATAAATGATTAGTACGAGCAGCATGAGGTCACAGGAGGGTCAACAGGCAGCCGGGCTGCCGCGACCCAAAAACAATGCGTCCAGCACACAGCTGACCCAGGATGAGAACGATGCGGTCTTTAGGCTACTGGGACGCAAGTGTCAGGTAAGTCAATTGATAAATACGGATACGGATATATACATATGGGCACCAAATATTGTTATTTATACGTTAAGTATATGATTAATTCCGTCTGATTAATGTTGCAAATTCGTAAAACACTTTCGACAAGCGTTGGCGATAGTCGTTTTTTTCTGCATTTTAGTGCGTCACTCACACACACACACGCACGCACGCACACACATACGCATATGTAACTACAGTGCGCCTTCTTTAAGACAAACTTTCATTTTATTTTGTTTGAAATCAGACTAAATGTGAACTAAAAGCGTTAACAACAGGCATACAAATTTCAAATACTTCGAGAAATTCAAAAACTATAAGGACTTTTTCTGATTTTTGAGCTTTTTCAGGAATTACTTTGTTAACTATATTGTGTATTTTTGTAGGTTTTCTAGCCAGATTTCTAAGCTACCCCATAAACTATTTAAATACATATCTTGATCAGCATCGGTTTGTCAGCCAGCTCATATATATATAAATATATATAGCTGACTTACGAACTATCAATGGCAAGCTTGTACGAAAATCTCTTGATCTGCAGCAAATTGCCATTATTCCTTATTTTCCTCGATACATTATGAGACATGGTTATGTATTGCAACAAAGTATATCTATATTGTTAAAATTATTCAAAAGATCTGCCCTGTCGTTCTGTAGTTAACTATATCGAGGTTGTACGTCATTTGATGTTCAGCCTAATGAAGCATTTCCTGCGCGGAGGCACTAGCTCAAGTAACACCTAATGATCGTATGCGCTGTGTCAATAAAATGATCCATAGGAACCTTGGTAACATTAGATTCGTTGTTCATCGAATTTGCAATTCATAAGATAGATATCGCTGAATTTTTGTTATCAGAAATTGATTTGGAACTTAGGTCTACAATGAATCGCCCAAAGACATATTTTCAAAACCGTCTTTTTTATTCGCACCGAAAAATATTGAGGAGAGGCGAAAACAAACACAAGCACATGCTTAAAGTATTCAAAAAGTTGATAAGCTTTTGCAATTGATAAACTCCATAGAACAAATACTGGTCAGACTTATCTTATCGTACATCCGATACGTTCCATAACCAATGCCAAAGGCAATTACAGATAGCAAACTTGGGGCCTTAAAGAACGCTTTGAATCATGGTAATAAAAAGCACACAGCAATTTCTCACTACACTCTAAATATGATGCGATCCATATCTGGCTAGCTATGTATTTAATTATAATGCTCACACGATATGTAAAAGTTGTTGTTTCTTGTTTTAATTGTAATTCACGCTTTGCTAATTTTCGACTTTCCATTGACAAACATTTAAAATGCTTTTGAACTCAGAAAAAAAGAAAAACACGCCAAAACAAGTAGATCTGGCTTGGTGTAAGAGTGCCCAACTGACGGATACCCTGTAACAAACAACATTTTAAAATATCTTGCCTTAGTTTAGGGAAAAGAGTCTGAAAACAAGCAGATTTTCTCTTGTTGACAAGGTTTTACGCGTTTATACCCTGTACTCATTTCTAGAGCATTGTTTCGGTTTTACAAAACAGAAAGTTTCTTAAGAAATGAATTTTGCAAATTTTAATTTTAATAAAATTTAATAATTTTAGTCGAGAAGACTAGAGAACTCTAATTTTTTCTTAAAATTGCCAGCATATTATAGTTTGGTACTAAAATTTTCTGTGTGGTATTTGTCTCAAAATATACATGTAGAACGGGTTGCATATACTTATATAATAACATTCCATTTTGGAATAGTGTATATGTATATGTCTATGTCTATGTATATGTATATGTATATGTCTATGTCTATGTATATGTATATGTATATGAATATGTATATGTATATGTATATCGAGGTGGCAACTTGTTAATTTTGTCTCATTTGGCAAAACCCCCCCCTCCCCCCCTCTTCACATTTTAGTGGGTGCCGTGTATAAAATAATATCAGCGCTATGTTATTTACAGAACACGCCCATCTCGCCCCTTTAAAAGCTGTTTGTGGTTAATGACACAGCTGCAGTTGCAGCGGGCGTCGACGTCGACTGCAGCTGCGACGTCAGCGTGTGTGATAACGCTAAGGCCGAGCAGAATTACCTCACAGTCTTGTTGTTGATGCAGCTCTTGTTATTATTATTGTTGTTGTTGTTGTTGCGGGCCATTTGTCGCTCGATTGTTTGCATTTATTTTGTATAAACTTATTTCACGCATTTTTCTGTACGTTGGCCAACTGTGGCAACTGGACTTTCTAATTGCTGTTTTGTCTTTTGTCTGTTTTCGTTGTTGCTATTGCCGTTTTGCAGACGCTGCTGCTCTCGTTATTGTTGTTGTTGCTCTAGCTGGGCTTTTAATGCGCTCCATTGCTCCCTTGCCCTCCTCACACACACACGCGCGCGCACGCACACCACAGCGACTTAGCAAAGCTGCGCTGTGACGGCCAGTTATTTTTGTTATTGTCGCTTGTTGTTGCCATCGATTTTTATGCCTTGGCAACAACAACAACAACAACAACAGCAACAAGCTTGTCTTATGTAGTATGCACATAGAAGGCAAGACATCATTTTACAATGCTACTTATGTCCACACACACACACTTAAACATACTCACACACACACACATTTACAGCTGCGCTTAAACATCAATAAAAATTCAAATATGTTCACAATTTCGCACTTTACGCCGCGTGGGCAACACATCAACGTCAACATCTCTTTCATCTCAAACCAGCAGAGGTAAAGAGAGAGACAGAGAGAGAGAGACAGTGTTGTTCAGCTCAAATGAGCTGCCATTAGCTGCTAATGTAACCCATATTACATCACATTTAGCTGCACTCTTTCTATAACTAACATATCGTATCGTCAGTGCCCATGGGACAAGTGCAATCAACCATTTTTGGCCAAATGTCAAGTGTTTTGGCCATGGCCGGCTAAGCCCATTAGAAATAGCAGTCTTAAAACATAAAACCTATGTTTTAGATTAAATTCAATTTCCATATGTATATTATTGACACGAAGCAATTGAAATTTAACTAACAGAATGCATTTCACGTTGTTTCAGTTTTTAACAGCCATTTAACATTGAAGACCAGCCTTTAACAGACAATTTACATTATATGTTAGTTACTAGAAGCCACAAACTTTAAATTCGCTTGCAAATTAGAACGCATCAGTTTCAGAGTGGATTATAAGATTAAAAGTAGCAGATGCCAAGGGCATTACTCTCTATGCATAAAAGGGAAAATTGTACTTTCCAAGTTTTTAAGTACATGTTTAACAGTCTTCTAACATATAAGCGCACTGTATTCTTACACCTGATTTACATAACATGCCCATGTAACAGAGCGTCCGTTCTTAACATCAGCTCATTAAATTAATATGCCCCATACGACATAATGAACTTTGGGCTTCAAATTGGCAGCTAAATTTTCTCTCCAGCAGAAACCTTAACAATATACATTTTTGTTTACAGCTTAAATAAACAACTGTTGCAAATGCAGATATTTTATTGGCATAATAAACAAATAGAAATCACCTTGAGAGGCAAAGGGTTTTTAATATGCTTTCCATTATCTTCTCATCCGCATTATATTTAAGATCTTTTGTTTGGTTTTTAGAAACTGTTGAAAGTTTTCATGGCGATTGATTCAATGATGATGCGAGGCACTGGCGCCGCTTAAGCTTGTTTTTAAACAAAAATATATATAGGCACTTTTGGCAAGGATTTTAATTGCGGCAGTTTTGTGGCCCTTGGCGTTGCGGCTGTCGCCAGCATTTCCTGCGCTGCCAAATAGTAATAAAATGAAGAAAAACGCAGTCTTAAATCACCACAAATATCATTTCCGTTGCGCACAGACAGAATAACGCAGTGCGCATTGTGCAAGTCCGCACAAAACTAGCTTCCCCCAGCTCCAATGGAGTCCATGGCGGCTATCAATTTGTGGCCCTACGTGCTGGGCATCCCAAGCGTACAAGCGCTGCAGATGCAGCCAGCCAACTCGCATGATATGCTAATGTGTAGTGAATGTGGCTAATCGGTATTCAAATAAGCAGCGTATGGCCAAAGACCTGGTCTACGACAAACCAAGTGCCGGAGCGCGAAACTGAAAGTCAGATGAGTTTCTCAACTCAATCGCGACGGTTCACAGTCTTTGGCCGCTAAATTCAAATGAGGCGCAAACTAAAGGTGGGGCTGCCACGATTAGATAATAGATAGACTTTGTTTTTTGCTTGTGGGATTAGGGACTGTCCTAATATTTGGTAACCGATCAAATGCTAATCAAATTGCTACATCTTTACAGACCTTAAACACTGCCGTTGTGCAAATCTACAAGACGGAGGGCAATGCGCACTCGCACTGGAAGAAAAAGCACACAGGCGTCGTTTGCTTTGTCAAGGATAGCGCCATACGATCCTATTTTTTGCGCGCCTACTGCCTGATCAAAAACGAACTGATTTGGGAGCATGAGATATACGATGGCATGCAGATTGTCAAATCGCGTCCCTTTCTGCTCACCTTCGAGGGCAGCGTATGTGGTCCAATAAACCAAGAAATTGCAGAAACTTATCTTGTACTCTTTTCTAGGACGGCAACGTTGGCTTAAACTTTATCTCGGAGGATGAGTGCGATTCGTTCTTTCGCGTCCTGGACGCCACAATAGAAACCCGAAATCGCAAGCGTCTGGAGAAGCGCAATAGGCAAAAGTCCCAACAAGCTCCCAATGCGCCAATGCCGCCTGTGTCACGAGAGCCAACGCGTCCGCCCTCCATTATAGGCAAGAGCCCCATGCCGACGACAACGACGACGACAGTAGATAGCGGTGCCGTGCAGCTGCGCAACAATAAAATCAACTCGGTAACGCTGACACCGGCGCCCGCGCAGCCACCAACCAAAAACTTCTTGTCGAGCAACTTTGGACTGAGCGGTTCGGCGGGCAAGGATAAGAAACGCAAGGTGACCAAAGCAGATATTAGCCAACCGACGAATTTTGTGCATATCAGCCATGTGGGCTGGGATGCGAACAAGGGCTTCGATTTGACGGGCAATGAGAGCGATGAGATGCTGACCAAGTTCTTTGCCAAGGCTGGCGTCTCCGAGTCCCAGCTAAACGATCGAGATACACGCGCCTTCATCTATGACTTTATACAGAGCAATAATGTGCTGGCCTCGGTCAAGCAGGAGGAGATTGAATCGCCCACAGAGCCAACGCCGCATATGCCGCCACCGGTGCCGAGTCGTCATCATCCTCATCATGTATGTGACACTCACTCACACTCACCACATTTGTATTCCAATTAACACTAAATTGAATTTTTCTCCGCAGTCACAGAATGGCAACCAAAGATCTGCACCGCCGCCTCCACCGGTGCGACAGCCGCCGCCACCATTGCCAACGACGGCACCGGGAGCAGCACGCGCGCCACCGCCACCCAGCAGACCGCCACCCATCAATGCGGCTCCACCGCCACCGCCACCACCAACGGTCTGTCCGCCCGCAGCAGCGGTAAGTTATGATCGAAAATGTATTCCAATTCTTGAAACTAATGGCATTGCTGTACAGCCGCCCCCACCACCGCCACCACCTCCTGCGGCTGCGCCACCTCCTCCACCGCCACCACCACCCATGGCCGTGGCGGAAGTGCCGATTATTGCGTCAACGCAACCAACGGCTCAGGCCAGCAAAATTGCACCCGAAGTGGACACGCGCAATGCGCTTATGGATGCCATACGGAAGGGCAAGTCGCTTAAGGTGAGTGCAACACGGTTTCATTTTTTGAGGAATCATAATAACCATAATTGCCGTTCCAGCCGGTGGAGCCAGTAGCTACAAGTAGCAATAGTGTTGATCCGCGCAACGATCTATTGGGTCAGATACGTGAGGGCTTCACCTTGAAGCCAGTGACTGAACGTAAACTACCTGAACAGCGGATCAGTGATGGTAGCGCTGGTGCTACCGATGCCCTGGCCGATGCACTGCGTCGTGCACTTGCGGCACGTGGCACAGTCATGCATTCAGACGACGAGGAGAGTAGCACATCCTCGGACAACGATTGGTCCGAATAGATTAACAACTAAGCGGCCATTAGAGATGATTGTTGGCAAACACATTATTCCAAATATAAGCAATAATTTAATTTGTGCTTTGGCATTTTGATTTATCGCCAGATAAATCACTGTAAATACTGTTTAGTGAATTTTTCATACCTCTTTAATTTAATTTTTCTAAAAACTGTTAAACAACAACAAAATACGCAAATTTATTAACACAAGAAAAAGTAACGAAAATAATTATGATTGCATAATAACGATTTTTTTCCACTACAAATTCACATATGCAAATATTTCCTTTTAATTGCTCAAAAAGAAAAGAAATTCATAATCAAAAATGATTTAAAATTAAAACCAAAACAACAATATTTATGTACATACATATGAATATGTATCCACAACAATAAACCTAAAATATATATCTGTATGTGCTTAACTTGTTCAGAGATGTGCCAAAAAGAAAAACAACTATTAATATGCCCCTGTCAATACACAAAAACACAACCCGAAGCAAAAGTCTGTATATAAGACCTAAGATATATTTTCTGAAAATATGCTTAACTAAACTAGTTAGTCGCGGCCCATTTGAAGTTGTTTTATAAAACTTGAACCATGCGTAAGCCTAGACAAATGCGCGAACTGAGGTTTTTTCAAAATCAGCAAGATAATAACTAAATGTGAATGAATATATATGTTTTATTCAATTTAATAACAATACTAATAAACATAAAATTGTAATCCAAAAAAATTAAAATATTGCAATTGCGACCCCTAACTGACTAATCGAAATTGCAAATTTATTAACATTTATTATAAAATTTTTTGCTCAAAACCATAAAAAATTCAATTATTAGCTAAATTGATATATAATAATGGTGTATAATATAATATATCCAGACCATAAGGCTTCCTAATCTTCTTCGAAAGAAAGTAATCCCCAGTTGTTTTTCTGAACCCACAACTAAAGGAATTTCGAACTATTAACTAAACTGATTCCAAGTATTAATGCTTTTAGTTAAAGTGCATTAAATGCAAATTTTTGTAGTCATTTCTTTAAACAATACACACACGTGTTGAAATTAGAATAATTTTTTTTTGAACACTTGAGAGGTCGATGGTCATGTTGTATTAATGAATCGTTAATCTGTATGTGTGTGTCAACGAGTCGAAAAAGAGTTTTGTGCGATTTGTGTATTTAAATAAGTACATCTACGTACATGTATTCTATATATATATATAGTTTTACATACATATATATTCTATAGTATTATATAAGCCATTAATTTATGTAATTTACGTAAATAAAGTTGTGTATATCTAACTTAAACTAATTGCCGCTTTATATGCATTATTTTATTCGAATTTTGGTAAAGTATATATTTATATATATATATATATATATATTAGTATTATGTATATATATATACATAATACGAGTATTATGCGTTTAGGTTAAGGATTCAGCATGGAATATATGTATTACATATGTACAAAGTGGGTCGATTTATGGCCTCTATAATTGTGAACGTATGTTTATGCTTAACTAAGTTAGGAATTATTATCTAGCTTATGGTATAGGGTTTTCCTGAGCCACATTCGCATCGTCATTGAGCTCCCGTTCAATGTTGGCATTATTATTATTTTCGGCTATTTCATTGATATTCGAATCATCGTTGACTGCCAATCGCGGCTGCTGCGGTGGTTGCAGCTGCTCCTGCTCCTGCTGTACTTGCTCCAACTGCTGCTGCTGTTGCTCATTGATGCGATTCTCAGTCTCTTCGTTGGCGCTGCGCTCGTCTTCAGCGAGCGCCTCAATGCAGGCTCTTGTGGTTGATGCTTCTGTATTCGCCTCATTCACCTGCTGCATTTGAACACTTGCAGACAGTTCATGGTTCAGCACATTCTGTTGTTCCTCAGCGCAAGTGTAGTTCGATGAGCTGGCAAAGAATGGCTGCGCCAGCGTTTCATTGTCCTTTGGCGCGCTTAGCGTCACAACTGGACAAGTGTTTTGCTCCTCGCTATTTACGTTTTTCTTAGTTGCTTCTGGCTGAGATAGCTCCTGGCCGTTGTCTCCGCTCGCCTCGTTGTTACCTTCCATTAGCTGTTCATCTACCTGACTACAAACGCTGGTGATGACAAAATTAAAAAGTGCCGCACTGGCTGATTCCTGTTGCGGCTCCGTATCTGCACTCTCAGAAGTCAATTGTGGCACTTTTGACTCATCTTGCGGCTCCAAAACACTGTGCTCCGTCGCTAGGGCAGGCTCCGACTCCTGTAACATATCCTGGGGCTCTATTTGTGCAGTTTCTGACTTGCTTTGCGTCTCTGCAAGATTTTGTTTCTCTAATGCGCTGGTTGTTGGCTCCTGCACCAAATTTTGTGCCGCTCCTGAAATTATTTCTGTTCGCGGCTCCACTGGCAATATTTCCGTGTGCACCACACCCTCTGTCTCCATTGGCAGCATTTCTGGCTGCGGCTCTATTGTCATCATATCTGATTGCGGATCCACGGGCAATATTTCCGACGTACTTTGCGCTTCTGGAGCCGAGCTCTTACTTGGACTTTGCTCCTCCAATGGCGGCAGCTCAATTTCACGATAAATGCGCTCCTCCGGCTCCTCGTACGTGTCCATGTTTTCCTCCTCAGCTTCATCCGCAGACGAAGCGCTCCCATCATCATCATCATCCTCGTCGCTGTCCTCACTCTCGTGCAACCCATTGTAATGTATGTTGTCAGCTTCGCTGCCATTGATATCGACATCGGAGATATGCAAATCCTTCTCCTGCTTAATAATCACATTACTGAGATCCAGACTGTTTATATAGGCAGACTCTTCGTCTATTTTCTCATTGTGGTTGATCTCATTTGATTTTTCAGCTCCGTGCTGTTCTGCTTCTTGTTCGCCTTGCTCACTCAATTCCTGCTCATCCGCATAGCCACGGTTCAGTGGCTCCGGCTTGATGGCAGCCGCATTGAAGGGTACCGAGGCGCCACTTTCCACTGCCACAATTTGTGGTAGTTGCAGTTCAGCTGGCGGTAGATTTGAAGAAGATGCAACCTCACGTGGCACGCCACCGCCGGTGCTTTTACGTGCTGTGGACTTGGTTGCAGTTTTCTTGGCAGGCTTTGTTAGTTTCTCTATATGACCTTCATTGGGCAATGCTTCCACAGCGCTCTCTGGGGGCATTGCCTCCTCTGCCATGACCACACCGCTGGCTATATGCGTTATTTGCATTATTCGATCTAGCTCTAAGCGATTCGGTTTTACATCTTCCAGCTCTGCCGTCGCTGTTGGCGCCTCTTGGTTTAATTCACTGTAGTTGCCCCCTAGCTGGAGCATAGGTATGCTCGTCATAACAGTGGCCTGCGGTTCGTACTCGACCTGTGGCACACAGTCACCCGTATAGTTGTCATCCAAACGCTCCTGCTTAACGGACACGATTGCGCTGCCTGCAGCTTCTACTGTTTCTTCGGTTGGAGGTTCATCGAGTGCTGTAGCCGGTGGCGTCGCTTTGTCGCCAACTTCGGACTCCTTATTACGCTCCTTATGCTTTCGTTTCTTTTTCTTTTTAGCACTTTTTGACAGCACCTCGTTGTCATCATCATCTACGATGGATGAGTTAAGCTGCCCATGATTTTTGGTTATCTTCAGCTTTAGCTTGAGCGGCTCTTGTTTGATTTGTACGCCATCGCTGCTGGTCATTGGCTGCTTCTCATAAGATTCATCAAAAGGCTCCTGCTTTACAGACACAATTGGTGCAATTGCTGCTGGATTGGCACTGCCACTGGCAGCATCCTCATCGCTGTCATCATTGCCTGCATCTGCGTGGAAATCATCACAGGCAGGTGGGTCGTCATCTGGCTCGCTTTCGGGCTGCTCGAATGCAAGCGGCGGTCCGGTATCATCGATGTGCACCTCCGGCTCATGTTTAATACTAACAAGCGTGCTCATTGTATTTTTTAGCAGCTGATCGACGCGCTTCAAATACTTTTTAGATGACACACGATCACTGCTTCGGCCCATCGAGTTGGACACAGACGAGGCGCGCAATAGCGGGGATGCTAAGCGTTCGAGTACTACCACTGGTTGCATGTCTCCCGCCTGAGTGTATTCGATGGACGAGTGATTATTATCCTCGGCATCCACATCGTTTTCATTCTTGATGCTCATCTGTGCTTCATTGTCAGCTGCCTCGGGCATTATATGCTTGGAGTGATTCAAATAAATCTTAGCACAGTGCGGTGCATGGCGCATATAGGCGATTTCACTGTTGAGCAGACGACTGCAGCCACCACATTGGCGTGTGCGCCGGGCACAAGGATGTGTATTATAAAAGTAATTTGTTAGAAACGTTTTCCTGCAAAGTGGGCACTCGCGGTCAAGCACCAGCAATTCGATGGGCGTGGGCAATGTGTGCTCCCGCAGATGTCGCGTATAGGCATAGTTATTTGCAACGCTTGCATCGCACAGCGGACACTGGTATGGCGTCTTGGAAAGCTTATGCCAGAGCTGATGAGCTTTGATATCGCTGAGACTGTGGTGACTTTGATTGCAGGCAGTACAAGTGTAGCGCAATACAGTGGGCACATGTGTTGTCGTCTTGTGCTCCTCGACCAGCTCCTTGTTCTCAAAGCGTTCGCCGCACACGCTGCAACTTGCCTTGCGGGCTTTCTTCGCGGGGATGGTAAATTTGACAAGCTCTGTGGGCTCTTCCTTGCTGCGCATGAAAATAATACATTTTTAAGATTAGGATTTATGTTGTTCGCATAAATTGCTTACACTTCAGTTTTGCTCGGAGCCAGCTGTTGGTGCTGCAGGCGCAGCTTCTTCCGCCAGTTGAATGGCTCATTTTTGACGGCATCCAACGCAATATTCATCGTAGTGGACTTTGCGCTGGTGCTGGGAGCTGCTAACGCAGGGTCCTCCGTTTTACGTTTACGCCCACGCTTCGCAGGTGTAGCGACTGTTAGCGGCTCCTTTTTAAATATCGGCTTGACGTCCAAAATCTGTGAATGGGACATAATTCGGTGATAGTTCGGTATGATTATGGACTGGTGGTACTGCTTACCTTTTGTGTATCCACTTCTTTGAGGCCCAGTAGCTTCCGCGTTTGATTGTTTGTGGCGAAACACATTTCTCGAAACTCATAGAAATCATTGATTTTATCTACGCATAGACTGCACATTGTCTGCGGCATTTTATCGTCCTGTGTCACCTGCAAATTGGGTGTTGTTTTCTAAACCACGCCACGCCCTTTAATTGATATATGTGCCTTACCACGAAGCCGACCAGTTCTAAGACCTTTTGGCTCAAACTGGGCTCGTCCAGGTCTATAACATCGCTTTCATTGGGTAGTATTGGCACCTTGGACGGATTATCGATGCCACACAGACGACAGATCTTGTACAAGTTCGCCTTGAGAGCCGCATCAATCTTGAAAGCGAAGCGCTCCATAATGATGTCGCGGTTTGTTTGACTTTCTGCTTAAGTGCTTATGCTACATATTTACTGTTTAACTTGCAGCAAAAGTGTTCATTTTTTTGTTTATTACCCACCAAAACAAGTGTGGCCAGGCAACGATTTGTGGCATAAGTACGGTCACTCTTGCCAGGGCTGCAGTGGAAGCAGCGAAGCAGGTTTAAGGATATAAATAAGTCAGTGGTAATAAGAGATATTGGTAATGCAGTTAGTATAAGCCTTAAAAAATTAATAACAAAAGAGATAAAAAAGTACGTAGAATAAAGCGTATTGCCATTTTATTAGAATGCCTGAGGGCGCTCAGCAAAATTATAGATATTAGATGCAAAGTTGCAGACATATTTTGACTTTCCTTAAATTTTAACTTAAGTTTATTTAACAATTTAAATTGTGCGGTAAGTGCGATATATTTCGTGCCAATTATCAAATCCATTCAAGCATTTAAGTTAAAAGTGCCAGTTTAAACCAGTCACAATCAGGGTCAGGGCTGCCACATGTTTATGTTAATCTGAAACCGTACAGAACTTATAAATGTAATAAAGCTGGCCTTTGTTAGGGGGGGAAATTTTGTTAATAAATTATTTATAAAATGCAATTGGGTTTAATTAAATTGTGCGCAAAATCAAATTGAATTGAATGTGATTCGATGTTTCGCAGTCACCGGTAACAGATTTACCGATATTGACATCTCTACTCTGTCGTAAAAATTTTGTATACACAAGCCAACAGATCTCCTAAAGGAGCAACGAGCTAAACGGATTGTGCACAGAATAACACCATGGATCAGTATCTGAGTCGGCGAGAGAGTTGCTGGCTGCACCAGCATAAGCACACGGGCGATGAGAACTTACTGATGCGTCGCATTTACAGCTCGATGGGCATGTTTAACAGTTACCATTCCAATTGTAAACCTGGCACGGCCGGACAGGACACTGGTGCCATATTTAATCTGGAGTTTAATGCCGATGGCAACATAGTTGTTGCGGCCACGGAGCGCAAGTGCGTCCTGGTCTTTGATGCAATCACACAAAAGGAAATCTTCAAAATACCAGATGCGCACACAGACAGTGTCAATTGCATTAAGTGAGTATCCTTAGCTTTGAGCATCGTTTTCAGCAGTGCTTGTTATAATTTTGTTTATAGATTTTATGATGATCGTCTGTTTGCCACTGGCTCGGATGACTTCACAGTGGCCTTGTGGGATCTGCGCAATATGAAGGAAAAGCTGCGCGTCCTGCACGGTCATTCGAATTGGGTGAAAAACATTGAGTACTCCTCAAAGGACAACCTGCTTGTTACCTCTGGCTTTGATGGCAGCATATTTACATGGGACATCAAATCGCAGACAGAGCAGGGCCTTATCTCACAACGTGTCTTTCATGCCAGTGGTCTGATGCGCTGTCGCATCTCACCAGCAGGCGATAAGCTTGTCTTGTGCACCAGCAGCGGTTATATAATGATCGTGCATCACTTGGATCTGACCACATTGCACAAGGATCTGTGTGGATTTAGGGTGAGTGACCATCTCGTTTAACATCTCCAGCTGTACTAACTGGCAACTATGTGTACCCTTGATAGCCTGGCATCTATAGACTTATGCAGCTGGGCGACCAGTATATACCTCAGGCCGCTAAATACGATCATGTATTTTCAAGGCACCAGAAAAAGAATCGCGTGGAGCTCGTTACTGATTTTCCCGAGCAAAACGATGCTGAAATGATAATGGCGCTGCAGATACATCCACAATGCCGCTGCATGCTGACGCGTAATGTGAGCTGCGATGAACAGAGCGAATGGACGTGCATACATGATATTAACGAGGAGCCCGAACCGATTGATGACGATAACGATGACGAGGACGAGCCCTTGACAAAGAAGAAGCGCACACTACTGCCACAGGCCAGTGACACAGACCAAGATGAGTCCGATCAGCGTTCACATGCACGGTCTCAAGTACGCCGCATCTTTTATCCACGCAGAGTAAATGGCACCATGTCGTTGGTCAGCGCGCGCTCCGATAGCTTCATACCAGACATCTGGGCGGCTGAGGTGACAGTGCAGGAGCGCGCCATACGCCAAAGTCGTGCACGCAACTCCACCAATCATGTCAGCGGCTATAACTTTGTGTACGCCATCAGTAGCGGGGTGTTGCCACTGCGCTCCTCGTTGGCCAGTCGCCTGCTGAGTGGTGCGGCACGTACCCGCGTTGCAGCGGGAGGAGAGCCAACAGATGCTCCAACCACAGAGACACATGGCAGTCGCAGCAGTAGTAGCAGCAGCAGCAGCAGTAGTAGTAGCAGCAGTAGCAGCGGGAGCGGCAGCAGCAGTAATGAGACCACCACCAGCCTTGAGCTTGGCATACCTTTGCGCATGCGACCGCTCAGCAACATCTCTGCCGCTGCAGTGGCATCGTCGGGCGAGAATGCTGCACATACCATATTGGTGAATGCCAAAAAGCTGCTCTACTATGCCTCCGAGACGAACAATAAGCCTGGCTTTATCAAGGAGCCGGGCTTTTCCGCCGATGGCCGCATCATTTGCTCGCCTTATGCCAACGGTGTACGTCTGCTTGGGTACCAGGCTGACTGCAGCGACTATCCCAGTCAGCTGATGCTGGACCAGGTCAAGCATAATCCACGACAGCTGGTGGAATTGGCCAACATTATTGAGCATCAGGATGTGGTGCTGTGTGCCAAGTTTAGTCCACGGGAACCACTACTAGTGACTGGCTGCAATGGTGGCGAGGTGGCCTGGTATCGACCATGCCTCTAAGAGCGCCAAAGCTTGCTGCAAATCTGTAAATTTGTTTTATTTTTAGCTCCAGACACGTTTACTATTTACGCGAAAACAACAATAGTAATAATAATTGCCAATAAATTGTAAAACCAAAAGCAATTAGAGTGAACCGATTAAATTAATATCCTTTATTAATATTGTATAGAATTTGAATTTGTATTGGTTTTGTGAGGTTTGTTGTGGGCGTGGCTGTTGCACATTATATTCACATATGTATTTAAGCACTTAGATGCTACATATTCTTTTATGTATTTTAAGAATCAATTATAAAATTACAAATATCTTTACACTAGAGTTCAACGGAGCTTACGCTGACACTACCAAAAGCTGTGCAGATGCGGGGAATGACCGACTGCTAGACTGTCTTAGTATTAGTAGTAGTTGCCATAGCCGCTCCACTGGCCATAATTGTAGCCGGCACCACCGGCGCTGGCGCCCCCACCAGAACCATAACCACCGCCCCATTGATTATAGTAGGAGTCATAGGATTGCTGCTGCTGCGGCGGATAGGCACCGCCGCTCTGCTGTGCATAATAGGCGCCCGAGTTAACAGAATTGTAGTTGTAGTTGGCATTGGCTGCCGTCGAGCCCCCATTGTTGTACGCAGCTGGTGCGGCAGATGAGCCACTGGAGGCAGCGGCGTTTTCCTTGGCGTTTGTAGAGTTCTTGCGACTGGGACTACTGTCATTGCTGCTAAGGGATAAGGAAAGAAAAAAATTAGTTTCTATTTAGTTTGTGCTCAGTCTAGTCGTACCTTTTCTTCGCTTCGCTGGCCTTGCTCAGTGCCAGTTGAAGCGCCCGTTGCGCATCCTGCAGTCCCTTGGCAGTGCTACCGAAATCCTCAAGAAACTCGACTTTGCGCTGTGCAAAAAGCACCTTCTGATCTGGCTCAATGTCAGCGCGTGACATAAACTTGTCCATAATCTGTACCACTTCCTGTTCAACAACTTGTGGCCGCTGCAAGCACAAATCAATCATTTGTAGGGCAACGCGTGTGTTGGCAGGATCGCGCTCTAACGCCTGCTGCAGTGCAGCCAGGCCAGCATCTAGATCATTGCAGATCTTATTAAGAAATCGGGCATATTTGATGGCCAAGCTGCCGGCAATGGCTTTGTTCTTGCTGTGCTCTATGTAATGCTTGTATAGCTCACGGGCTTTGTCTAGGGAGCCGCGACGTCGCTCCACGTTGATGCGGCGATAGGCAATCTGTAAGAGATTTGGACAACGCTGCTCTATGCGCTCCAGCACTTCGGCGGCGCCATCAAAATTCAGCTGGCACTCCTCGAAAGCGGCCCACATTAAATGCAGACTGGGCTTCTCTGGATGATGGATGCGACAAGCGCGCCGATAGACATCGCGTGTGATATCCAATATACTTTGACTTTGGTCATTCAGTGACTCCAGATAGCGCAGCATCTTTAGCCAGAACTCATCGTACAAAGCGCAGGCGATGAGACAACGTTCAAAGAGTACCAAAATGCGTTCCCGATCACCCTTTTCGATCTCAAAGTCAAGATAATCTTTCCAGTTTTTGAGCTGTGCACGTTCCAGTGGCTTTACATGGAAATACGGACGCTTGATGCCCTCTTCGAAGGACCAGCGGGCAGTGACCGCACTGACCGTCAATTTGTGCAGCTTGCGGCGCGCCGAAATGGCCTTGTCCTTGATGGCAGTTATCTCCTCCTCGCTTAGCGTGCTGAGATCGCTGAAATCTATGGGCGCCGTCTTCGATGCGACCGCGGATGATGACTCGCTTACGGTCAAATCGGTTGTAGTTGCTGATTCATCAGGCGTTTCACTAGTATCTTTGGGTGACTTACCACCAGTCGCTTCCTTATGCTTCGCATCGCGATCGCGATCACGTTCGCGCTCAACTTTCGAATCCTTTGAACTGGCGCTGTCGCGGCGACTTTTGGACGATGACTTTGAAGATTTGTTTAGCTGGCGTTCGTGCCATTCTTTGCGCAAACGCAACAACTCCTCGTTGCTAAGCGTGGCAGTTATTGCATGTTGATTTATGATATCCTGAAAGCTGTAAAGGGAGTCCGATTATAATAGTCTATTTAATATTAAAAAAATCGACCCAAACACTTACTTGTCAAAGTGGCCATTGTAGCCCTGGGTGGGTATGGTGAGTAGACGATCATAGATCTGGACGACGCGCTGATAACGTTTGGATTCGTTCTCCCAGCGTATGTACGCATCCCAGAGCTTGTCGGAGCGAAACTCCAGGCCGCACGCCTGTACAGCTCGCTCGTATTGGCTGCGAATAAATTGTTCCTCGTCGCCATGATGCGACTTGATGTGCATCAGATAATGTATCCACAGATCCACCGACAAGGGTATAGCTTCCAGACCGCGCTCAAATACCTACGTTTTTGATTTTTGTATTTTTTTTTTAAACAAAGTTTTTTTTTTTTGTTTTTTGAAACGGTTTCAGGTTTTTGATTGTTGAACGTAGAGAAGAAATAGAAATGTTTACAAAGATTTGAAAAATACTTGAACAGGTTCCGGACTTAACACTTAAAAACTAACTCGGATTGTTCTTGTTATTGTAATTGTAGTGTACCTTAGATGCTAACTTAAGCAGCTTAAATATGCCTAATTAACAATACATAAATACATAAGTAATATAGACACACACACAAAATATAACACACGTTTTTTTAAAAAGTATTTTAGTTTTTTTTTTTTGCACAGTGAGACTTAAAAATTTCATTTAAACGCCATTTGTACTTACTTACGGCTTCACGAGAGAACGTGTTGTAGGAGTTGAAGGAGTTGTATGGTGATAACGATAACGATAACGTGCGAAGTAGAGCAGAGAAGTTGATAAACGAACAGGCGACTAACTAGTCGAATGCGTGGGGTTGGGCTTACTTTTATTTTTATATTTTTCTAAAACAACGTACGTTGTGGAATACATCGTATTTGATGTGTAACTGCGTCCATTTCGTATGACCCACAATATAACTAGTAAAACTAGACCGATAATCGTAAGTGATGTGTTAAAACAATAGTGAGCTTTTCTATCTAAAGTAACAGCTAAGTGACCACACATAGACAACATGAAAATGATGTAAAAGACACACACAAAAAAGGACGACCATTTAGATCCCAGGCCTACGATTGAGTAATCCAAAGGTTATGCGGGCAATTCGAAGGTCAAGGAAGTACTAAGATTTTAAGAGTGTTTGCTCAAAATCTAAAAAATTCCAGAGTTTGAAATTGTTCAAAAATCTGTAGCGACATTTCAGCACTAGCTAAGGGTATCTCTTAGTTCGACACTCCCCATTAGATACCTCATTAATTTATCCTCCAATATTATTAATTAAATTTATTATAAAGTAGTTTTAAAGGGATTTTCAAATTTTTGAATATTAACAATTAAAATACAATTTTTAATCGAATGTATTATATTCATGAATTTAATTTTATGAACCAAAAGAAAATTCAGTTTATAATATTCGTCATAGTTTAAATATAACGTGTTATATTCATATACTCTATACATTTTTAATTTTAAAGCAGGGCTTTAAGAAATCAAAATCACCTGTAAAAAGAAGCATTTTTATAGTCAATGCTCTTCATAATGCCAGTTTTCAACAGGGCGACTCCGATTTACATTTAGAAAATGTATTCAACACTATAATTTACGAGATTTCAAGATTTGATGAGGTAAGACACCTTTCGGATCACTATATTGAGCGTGCAATGTTAACACATTACAGCATAACCAGTGGATTGGGCAATCGGGATCCTGTCCTATGCTGAGACTGACCCTGACCTGACCTCTGACTAAAGGAGATGGATCAGTTGTGTTCTATATTATCTTGTTTGTTTTACTCTTTCTGCAATTTAGTTTGTTTTGTTTTGGTAATCGTTGCTTTTATTGAATGTAGATTTTTTTATTCAGTTATAATAAATTGCATTATAACAAATATGAAATATCAATTGTCGTAATCGTAATAGTAAGCATAAAACAAAGAATCGCAAAGTTGTTTAATTGCATTGAATTGTGTGGGGTACTCACCTTATAACAGTTGGCCTTAATGCCCTTGCGCTTCTCATAATCCGCATACTTGCGCCAATAGCCATAACAGTAGGGATAATGCGACAGGAATGTGTCGTAGGCATCGCGCGCCGCCTCAGCATCGGACTAAAATTAAAGGTTAGCGAATTACAGGTTTATTAGTGAGTCTAAAGATGAGGATATGTGTGTTCCAACCTCGCTGTCCACGTATTGGAGCAAATATGTCCAGCCTGTAAAGTCGGATGCATCGTCTTGGACGACACGCCAATATTTATCGAGATCGGGCAACTTTTTCCGTTCTTTATCTTTTTCCTTCTCTTTATCTTTGTCCTTCTCCTTCTCTTTGTCCTTTTCCTTTTCTTTGTCTTTATCACGCTCTTTTTCCCTTTTTTGGCTATCCCTTTCCTTTTCCTTGTCTTTGTGCTCAGCATCTGTTTGAGAAATTTATAGATTTAAAAACAGTTTTTTTCTTCATCTATTATCACTTCTCCCACCTTCATCAACTCTGGGTCGCTTCTCTGAGGGCGGCGCATCGTTACTCTCTGAGGTTGGACTGCCGGGATTATATTGTTCAGTTTGTTTGACTTTTGTGTTCGTTTCGCTGTTACTTTGCTGCGGCTCGTCATCAATTTTGTCCTGTTTCTCATTCGCATCTCTGCCTGCTTTACGCTTCCCGCTTCCTTTTGACTCGTTATTGTTGTTGTTGTTGTGCGTGGGTAATTCATCTTCGGATATGACCTCGGCATCGGCGGGCAGCTCTGCACGCTGTGGAGCTGGCAGCTCCTCATCGGATACCTCTTCGGCATCATTGATCTCCGGTTTGGTGGGTGGCGGTAGTTCATCTTCTGAAATTATTTCCGTGTTTACAATTGTCGCATTGCTTGTGTCCATATCATGGTCGATTTCATCGCCTAAGCTCTCGGCCATGGCATGATGCGAGCTAGAATCTTCAGATGAGTTGTGTTTGCCATCAGCGGGCTGCAGTGCCTCTGACACATTTGACTCAAAGTTAGCTTTTTTTGTGTTGGTCTCGCTCTCATCATTGCCGCCCACAGACGGCAAACTGTTGGCATTATCGCCAGCCAAGGAGGCCAAAAGCGAGGTATCCACACCTTCTTCGGTTCGACTCTCTTTGACTTCATCGCTGGTTTCTGAATGCTGATCGGCAACAGCACCAAAGGGAAATGAAGAGCTCTTCTCATCTACGCCGGCGGTTGTTTCGGCTGTGGCCAACATTTCCACATCGTCGTCTAGATTTTGCTGCAGCTGCGCAAGCTCATCATATTGAATCTCCTCAATGACAGCAGTAACTGGTGCTTCTGTTCTAGCGTGCTCCAGTTCCTCCTCATCGGTCTGCACCATAGCTGGCTGGTTATTGACTTCGTTTTCCTCCTCGGGATCGCTTAACTGAAAGAGAAGAACTATTCTTAGATAAATCTGTCGTCCAATGAGCTTGCATTAGCTGCCTCTCGAACTGTTCTTCTGGTTTGATTTATCAGTTGGCCCTTGCAAAGAATCACGTGGAAGCCATCATTTGCAGACGGAACAACGCCACATCCGCATGAAGATGCATGTTTTTCATCAAATAAAAACCGTACAGAAAATTGTTTGGGCAAGCATATGTATGTGTATGTGTGTGTGGGTGAGATACTGACCTGCGCTTGCCGCTTGGATGTGCGACGCGTCGTGCGCGATGGCGCTGGTGTGGTTGCCACCGGTCTGCCGGAGCGTGTGCGCCGCGCTAAAAAGTGTAGAATAAATTATTGAAACACTTATGATAAAGTAACCACGTATCTGTACATAAATTGTATATATGTACATATGTATGCGTAAGCAGGGCTCTGCACAATGTGGTGGGTTTTTACGTATGCACCGCGTGATGTTCACGTTTTTTCAACATAAAAATGCTTTACAGCTGCTGAAATATTTACGCTGAGCACGAAATAACAAAAAGGCAATATGATTTATACTTCACAGCGCACTGCAATCCAGTAAATTGCATGTTTTTCCTCTTATTTTACCTGAATTTTCTATCACAACGTTTTCGTCTTGTTCAGACGCCATTTTTGTATTTGTGGCACACGCAATGTGGTCACACTATTACAAAACTGGTAACAACAACAGTGTGGCTGTAGCGATTTAAGCAAAAATGCTTCATGCTTTATATAAGAGCAGGCTATCGATAAATATCGCGGGTGCAACCCTTAGCCGCAAAGGCGTCGCGTCTTACAACACTGTTTGTCAAAATGGCGACTTAAGAATTCATAGCGTGACAAAAACAAAGCGCATTTCACAATATTTTTGGTGTTTTTGTGCAATATTTAATCGTTTTATCGTACAAAACCAACCGAAATGTGCAAATTAACAGTGCTGTGACTGCAAACAATAAACCAGTGTATGAAATTGACCGACGTCAGCGCTAGAAATTAAGAAACGCCGACCGCATAACCTTTACGTGTCGCAGTTGCGAATGGAGTGTAAAGGAAAAGTAAAGAGAATGAAAGAAGAGGCGCCAAGCAAAAAATTGCCGCCTAAATTATATGGCGGCGACTATGCGGCTAATGCAAGCACACCCACCAAAGCAGCCCACGATGAGATACTCAGCTCCCTGCTGCGCATTAATAATTTTGACTCCATATCGAGCATTAAGGACGAATCACTGGACATTGATCTGTCCGCTTGCGTGACAATCAGCTCCGCGAGCTTCATCAACGGCAACAGCCTCTCCTCAACGGACTTCTGGCGTGTGTTAGACGAGAGCGCCCAAAATAACACTGAGCTCAATTTGTCTGCCGACGTTAGCCGTGATGAGCTGACCGCCCCCAGTCCCAGTGCAAGTCCCAGTGTAGCCAACGTGGCGAACCTATCAAATGGCAGCGCCAATGACAATACCAATTCGGAGTTTAATGTTACGTTTTTGCGGCCGGAGCCGCCAAATGCGTTTACCAATTCGCCCTTTAAAAAGATAACAACGACGCCAGTGAAGGTGCCGTCACCTGACCAAATGCAGGTGCAGCCACAGCAGCCGCAGCGGAAGACCCGGCTGCCAGCGGCCACAGCGCTGCGCTTGCAGGTATTCAAGGAAGAGCCGGCAGTGGAGAAAACCGCACCAATGCAGGCCGCAAAAACACAGGTGTTGACCAAAGTGGAGCTTTGTGAGACGGAACACATGCCCCATGCGTTTACCATATTCCAACAACAGCAGCCGAATGAAATGCCGCCACCAGCAACGCCTCTGGAGCACAGTGCGAAATTGGAGGTGGAAGCGCCCCCGCCGCCACTCTACAAGTGCCTAGACTGCAATGGCTTGGTGCTGGATAATCAGCAGCTGGTGAGCACACACAAGGCAGCCGCGCACCGTTTGCGTATTACCTACAATTGCACCGAATGTCAGCGTGAGTTCGAGCTGCTGGCGGGCCTGAAGAAGCACCTGAAGACGCATCGCAGTGAGGGTCGTAAGGATACCTGGAAAAAATGCCCCGACTGCGGCAAATGGTAAGTCCAAAACATCGGTCAATCATTTGAGCAAACATCAATGAAAACATTTTCAAATTTTCAGCTTAAAACTGGGCAGCATGTGGATGCATCGCAAGATACACAGCGACAACAAGAAGTACCAGTGCGATATCTGTGGCCAGAAGTTTGTGCAAAAGATCAATCTGACGCATCATGCGCGCATTCATTCCTCGGAGAAACCGTACGAATGCCCCGAATGCCAGAAAAGATTTCAGGAGCGCTCGCATCTGCAGCGCCATCAGAAATATCATGCCCAGACGCGCTCCTATCGCTGCGAGAAATGCGGCAAAATGTACAAAACCGAACGCTGTCTAAAGGTGCACAACTTAGTGCATCTGGAGCAGCGTCCATTTGCCTGCACCGTGTGCGACAAGAGCTTCATTAGCAACTCCAAACTGAAGCAGCACTCGAACATTCATACAGGCATGCGGCCCTTTAAGTGCAACTATTGTCCACGTGACTTTACCAACTTCCCCAACTGGCTGAAGCATACGCGACGTCGCCATAAAGTGGATCACAAGACTGGTGAGCATCTCGAGAACATTCCCTCCTACTGCTCCAAGAAATCTACGACAACGAAGGCGCAGAAAGCAGCCGCCGCCGCCGCTGCAGCTGCAGCAGCAGCTGCATCAGCGACTGCAGAGGATCCACTGGGAAAAGCTGATGTAGAAGCTCAGCCCAGCAGCGAGGGAGCCAAGGCGCCAGTTAGCAACGCGTCCGCAACAGGAGTTAAGCAGACACGCAAAAAGAAGCAACCGCAACAAGCTACCCTGGCCGCTTTGGGCATCACATTGCCAGCGGGCACAGCACTGCAGCAGGTGCACCCACCGGCGGACCGAAAGTTGTCAACTGCTGCGATGGCACAGCTGCCGCCACCGTCGCCATCAGTTTCGTCTGCACCTCCCAAGCAATTGAAGGCCAAGCGCGAACGCAAACAGCTGGCGCCGAAGCAGTTGCAACAAAAGCCACCGCCAGGCACAGCCGCGACCGTAGCAGTGCCGCAAATAAAGAAGGAGCCGTTGCAGACACAGGGGCCGTTTCTGGATTTGCACGGCCTCAGCTTGACGTCAGCTGAAGAGCTAATTATGGAGCAGGCGCTGGAGATGGAAGAGTGCGGTCTATATGACGCGCCCGTTGTCAGCACAGACATGGGAACCTCTGACAATGCCATCTCCTCTGAGGCAGCCGCCGCTCTGCACTTTCAAATAAAAAACGAATTACCCGATGAACTGCTACCTGACGACGATTTCTGTAAGTCCTTTAGTTAAAAATTCCATATAAATTATATATTAAAGTGCCATTTTTGCTCTTACAGTGCCTCATAAGCCGACCAATGGCAATCGTTTAGCCTGTCCCTCGCTCGAATCATCACCGTTCTCTTCGCCCGCATCCATGGAACTGGCAGCGGTCTCCACCAGCAGCACAACCTGCTCGACATCAACGCATGTGAACACTGGTCGCACCACCAACTACTATCTGCCTGCCTTTACACTAAATGCGCAAGGCAAACTGGCCAGTTGCACGAGCACTGGAGCTGCCATCAACAGTTCTGGACCCACCACGGTTTCGGTGGTGAATATGCCCTTGTTGGTGCACTCGAATCAAATGTTACCCTCGGTGGATACACTGCTGTTTACTTCGCAGCCAGGCAATCGATTCTTCTCCGGCAAGCCAGCCGCTGGCTCACAAGCTACGGCGGCGACGCCTCATATGACATGATCGCAAGACGGCTGTTAGGCCGTCGTCAACGTTTCAACGATCTCCTGTGTCTTAATTAAGCTAGGGTTTGCGACCACATCCGCTTTGCCAGAGTAAAAGGCAATGATTCGGATTATCTTGAGTATAGTCCTTACAAATTTAAGATAGATACGACGCTATGTTTATTTTAGTAATAGACCGTAAGCAATCTTCTATATAGAGCTAAGCAACAATGTACATAGAACTACACACGCAGACATATGTATATATATAGAAATGCACATGTGTGACAGGACTATATATATATATGTATATTATGATTTACCACCAATACATTTATTATTTCTACGCTTAACACCAATTACAATAAAAAACAAAACAATAAAATTCATATATATATATTTCTAGTAAACATCTGCTCAGTTCTACTGTGCTTCTCTCAAACTGCTTGTCAAACTGTGCGAGTTTACCAGTTGCTACAAAACTGTGTGCACTGCAGATTGCATTCGCTTGAGAGTATTCTTTGTATATTTTACTCGTGGTTCGCCCTGTTGTTATTGCATCACCAGCCCGCCTGTGCGCCGTTCAAATGGACACATATCAAAGGCAAGCGAAGCACTTAAACGTTTTGCCTCCGGTTGGGGTGGTTTTTGCGTGGCTCAGGGTGCCGTGGGGTGGGCACAGTGGCAATGTGGCTTTGCCTGTGCCCTGAGCCTTAGCCTCTGCGTGGCTAATACGACGCACGACTTAACAGTTCAAACGATTCCTAAACAACACAGAATATATATCTTTTTATATACATACGCTTTGCTACAGGTCATTTCAGCCTGAGCCTCCATAGAAATGTTGTGGCAACGGTTGCACTGGGTGGGCTTTGTGGTTTTTCTTTCTTCAATTGAAATAAATAAAAATATATATTTTTAATTCATTCAATTGCAATATGTAATAATATATAATAGAAACAACTTTATGTACCTTTTTTTAATGTGTTTCATAATTACAGGGTATAACTTTCCTTTAGAGCAAGAGCGACGTGTTTTCTCTAAGACCTTATTTCGTAAGGAATTGCATATACACTTTATTGACATTATAAATTGTTTAATGATTGATAGAAAATAAAATTAGTATATGAACAGCTTTACTACGTTTTAGACCTTGAACAAAATTATATCAAAATTGGGAAACTAAAAGTTCTATCATCGTGTTAGATAATTGTCTCACTATAACAATTATTTAAATTGTATTATTAACTATAATTAATGCATCCACTGTTGACACATTATTTAAGTTAATGATGAAGATCCCGTTGTATGTTCAGATCAGCTACAGCAGAGAACGAGCGTTGTGGTTGAGCGGGAGGGGTAATTCATATGTGCACTGCGCTCACGTCATTGGTCGTAACATATTTTATCCCGTTACCTTAGTCGTGAGTGGTGTGAGAGTAAGAGTTATACAAGTTGCGTTCTCTTTGGTTGTTAATGTATTAGTGCTAAGGCCGGCGCGAGCCTAATGAGACAATTTAGTTTGTGTAAGCTTCTGTTATTGATCGTTCGTGTTCCCTGTGCGTGTGTATAAAATCGTTTTCTAGCGAAGTTACATTGTGTTAAATGCTATTAGTAATTAAAAACTGCTATATATCAGTCTTCTACACATTAAAGGTAGACTTTAAAACAGTATAAATTAGTATATTTGTAGTCGTTGAGTTTTGTAACAAAACAAAATTGGCGCGCAGTTCAGCTTG